AAATAAATAATTAAGCACAATTATCGAGACTCGTCTCGATATGCATACTCAAAATTGGAGTGTTCACTTGTCAACTAAAAAGGCCAGATTCAAATGCTTGTTTATATAAATATCTTTTGAAAATCTTCTTTTTTTTTCTTAAATTTCATACTCAATCAAACACAACGTAAAATGAGAGATGTTATATGTTGTGTTTAGAATAGTAAATCAGAAATACTGTTAAGATGAAAAGAAAGAAAATATCCAAGTCCACTTAATTATTTACTGTGTTCATAAGAAATTTAATCCCTTCACTGTATTCGAGGTCGAGATTGTAGATTATTTCCTTATAGGATAAAATAGATATATTTATTAAAGAAGTAGTGGTACCTCTCACTTCAATAACTTATGCAAACTCAAAAGTTAGCAATGAAAAATCACACAGACTCTACTTTGTTCGTAAGAAAATATATATGTAGAAGAAAAAGAAAAACGATACAAAAGACTGAGAGGGAACCTCTCTATTTACATCCAACGATAGGTGTGAACTCACATGTACAGAAATATTTGTTCGGAAGGAACATGCCCTTCTGTAACAATTTACGTTACTATTTTATATTTAGTAATAATTTAACTTTAAACTTCTCTTTTTATCTTTATTGAGATATTCCCTCCGTTCACTTTTCCTTTTGGCAATATTAAAAAGTAAAATTTCACTTTTAACTTTTCCACTTTAGCATCTAAAAAATAATTAAATTAAAACGATCTCTTATTTTCATGTTTTATCCTTAACATTTAACTATAAAAGCCCCCTTACTATACTCAATTTCTCAAAATATATTTCCCTTTCTCTCTCTATAATTTTCTCTCTCTAAAAAGATTGGACAATCTATGCATTTGTTTGCAACTTTCTTCATTGTACCAATGCTGCTTTTGTCTAATGGTTTGCCTTCTTTCTTCGTAATATTTATTTTATTATATAGTTTAATTTTATTCTATGTGTTAATAATGTATAAGAATTTTTATAAGTATAAATGTTTAAATATAACTCTTTAACTTTTTGATTTAGTCTACCTTTAAAGTTTGATAACTAGCAAGAACTTGGATTACTGAAAAATCTAATTGATATATAAAAAAATGGCTTATAACCTCTGTTGTTACACAAATGACCCACATTGATAGTTTGGTTATGTATATAAATGAAATAACAAATCGTTAAAATATGAAACTCACGAAGAAAATAATAGTTTCAATGTGTCATAAAATACTTTTACTAACATACGATGTATAAATTTAAATATTTGTGGTAAAAGGTAGTAGTACCACCCGAGACTATATATGACTCAAATTTTAGAAACACACCTTATCTATACTAAGGTCTTATTACCCTTCCGAACTAAATTTTTTGTAATTTTAATTTGTACACCTTTTCGGCTTATGTGGCATTTAAATATCTCCCACACGCCACAACTGCGTGGAGTCACGGGTGTGCCACATAATCCAAAAGGTGTATAATATTATATATAAGGGCAACTTAATGCAATTGGAGCTCTGAAATTTCAATTTGAGGCCTAAAATATAAATGTAGGAACAAACTTCGTATACGTATTTATTCAAAATTAATTTCCCTTACACTATTCAAATGAAAATTATTAGTACTTAATGTTGTTTTTTCAGTTATTGATTTTAGGTAAGATTTTATCAACTCAATATTGAAAAAACATCCTTTCAGTGAGATAATTATTATATGAATTGCTAACATAATCCTATAAGTAGCGTTGATAAATATTAAATAAAGATAAGAGTTAAAACCACAAAATGAGATTCAAGAAAATGATGACTTGATTTACCCCATTTCTATATGTTTGCTGTAATGCTTGAAACAAACAAAAAAGAATCTGTAATTCTCTTTGTTCAACACTATAAATTCTTATTTTTAATGAAAGACTACATATGTTAAACTGAGTAAAATAATATATACTTCTTAAAAGTAATACTTTTTATCGTAACTAATCAATTTTTTCTATAAAAATTTAACACATATTTATTTATGATAAAAATTTGGGCCCCCCAAATTGCCTTATTTTGCAAAGGCAAGAGCCGGCACTGAATATATATAAAATAAGTTCACGAGATAATAGATTCTGTTGAGATTTCGATCATAGTCAAGGAATACTTATGTCTTCTCCCAATATTTATTGATAATATATGGTTCTCGATTTTTGATGTTTGCGTACATTAATTGATAGATATGGGACCTATGAGCTGTGGTGTAGAGGCAAGAACTTGTGAGCCACAGAGTCACAGTTTCAAGGGGCCATGTAGTAGGGACAGCAACTGCGCCACCGTTTGCCAGACGGAAGGATTCATTGGCGGCGATTGCCGTGGCCTTCGCCGCCAATGTTTTTGTACTACAGAATGTTAGAAGAAAGTTTCTAAATGATCTTTTTTACAGTCTATGTATTTGTTTACTTGTTAAGATATCTAATGATAAATAATGTTGTTTAATCAACAAAAAAAAGTGACTGACTAACCTCATATAAATATATAATACATATGGTGCTTTTGTTACGATTCAAAATCTTAGGTCATGATTTTCCCTAAGAGTCACGATCTAGGCATACCAAAATTATTTATCGAGGAAGAAAAAATAAGTTCAGGATAGTAAATTTCATCATTAAAGCGAACGATACATGTAAGAATATTTTTAACTAGGAGAATATTTATTCTATATTTGTCCTTTTCCCTTTGTTTTTTAATAATAAAAAATAAAATCTCCTTGTAATAAGAAATAGAACTAATTAATTCATTAATTATGACGGTTCACCGGCCTTTTCTGCTCACTCGTAGAGGTTGGGACCTCATAAAGGAATAGCGAGGGAGTCCACTGAACATTTTAGCTATTGGCGGGAAATTCGCTCTTGTCAGGTGAATAACAATCGTTTCGTCATAGTACTACTTATTCATACTGGAATTACTCAACGGATTCTTTTAATGTATCATTTCTGGGTCCAACGAAATTCATTGATATAGAAAGAAGCCCTATCATATAAAGATTTTTTTCTTGTGAGCTACTAGGTCACACTTTGGCCAAGCACGTACTACCATTGGCAGAGCCACATGTAGTTGACACCCCTTCATCGAAAAATTACATTGTGTAGCTAGAGTAAGATATCTTCACGAATCGCCTTGGTGTTGCACTACTGCCTTGACTTAGCACACCCCCACCAATTCTAGTCCTAAACCATTCACGTTACAAGTGATGAGGACAAACTCCCTATAATAATGTAATTTCTTAGTCAATTCTAACATTTTTGAAATTTAAAAATAATTTAAGTTAAACTTATAATTTTTTTAAAATATTTTTGGTATGTAGGCTATCGACTCACGTGGTACTTTGGCCTAACACACCTCTAAAAACTTATGAGAAAAAACATTCCCTAAATGATGTAACTATTTAGCCAATTCCAAGAAACATGATAACTTTTTAAATTTTCAAAAAAAATATTTAACTTTGAACTTTTAATTTTACGCTTAATGAGAAGCTTTTTAGATATTCAATGTAATTGAATGATCTTAAGTTTAAAAAAAATTCATTTATTTCTTAAATTTTCGTTTATATTAAGATATTGTCACATAAATTAAAATAAAATAACTAATGTCTTGCATGTGATTCATATATTTGATATTTTACACATATGCAATTAATAATTCCAAAATGTTTAATTTTATCTTCAAGCATTGAACTCACCAACAAATTAAGATCTATAATATTGGATCATGTGAAGGCCAATGTATTACATCAAACTACTATATAATGTACGTTGTTAATTGAAAGAACATAGGAAGGGAAAAAACACAAAAAGAAGAATGGAATGAGAAGCAGAACTCGGAGAAACGAGATAAAAAAAAATCGGACACTTCATAACAATTAGTATAAACCTTTTTTTTTGTTAAACCCTAGTTCTTTTTAACCGGTTTTCAATTAAGCATGAATCTCAAACAAAATTTGCTAATATTTTACTATGTTCAATAATCTCAACTAAATCAGTATCGTTAAGATGAAGGGCACAAATACCTAATTTTGGGGCTTCCATTTAAGTGGTAGCCACATTTTTTATTTTATAAAATTACAAATATATCCACTTTTGAACCACTTCAAATATACTCGATTTAAGTAAAAATAATTTTAACAAAGCTCGACTTCAGACATATAATGACTTGTTAAGATCGATTTCTGAATACATACCTAACTTTAGAATTAGGAAAGATAACTTAAAGCTTTTATGTGGATTTTGACTTATAACAATTTTTACATCTTTATAAAGGAGAAAATTCCTCTCAAATTCTTCTTTTTGTTAGGCATAACATGTGTAATAGAGTGTGACATGAGAGGAGACCCCTTTTTCTCATTCTCAAGTTGTAACACATATCACTCTTCGACATTATTTATGCTCGCGGATTCAAAATTTAAAATTTATACAGAAAAAAATGATAAACGGATGAAGTAGTTAATGTTTTAGAAAATTAATATATAATTAGTTATTTATGTTCACCTTTATTCTTACTCTATAACTAAATGGAGAGGGAATTAAATCAAAGAGAAAATTAGTAATTTAATCAAATTATCCTTTTAGTTAATGTTTTTATTAAGGGACGTGTAAAAAAAAATATGACAAATAAGATGAACCAAAAGAATCACAAATCTTCAAGTCCTACTCCCTTCTTTTCAAATATGTACTTGTCACGATTTTATTTTGAGAATCAAACGATATGAAATTAGATCAGTTAATATGAGAAAAATTACAATTTTTAGCATTTTCTATAAAAATTTTAATTTTAAAATATTAAATTAATTTAAGCTAAAAATTATTCATTATCAATCTTGAAAAATGAATTATGACAACTATTTAAAAAATATTTGAAATTAAATTTCGTGTCTAATCAAATAGTCAGGTAAATGTGCATGTATAAATACCCCCCTTTGCTTACTCCTTGTCTTAACCAATTCTCAATATATTTCTCAAATTGCATTTTTCTTTCTCTATTTGAAGATGGCACACTCTATCCGTTTGTTTGCAACTTTCTTCCTTGTAGCAATGCTACTGCTTTTATCCACTGGTTTGTCTTCTTTATTTATATTATTTAATTTTATTATATAGTTTTATAATATTAGCTCTACGTCAAAATTTAGCTCAATGAGAGAAAATTGTCCAATTTATGTTAAGAAGTCTTAGTCCTCTCATTCACCTTCAATGTGAGAGTATCCTTTTTTCATAACCCTCCACACACAAATCGAAACATAATTCTATACTGAAGTGTGAACAGTTTATTCGAAAACTCAATATCATATTTTTTAAAATTTTAATATCATGATGTATGAATTTTAGACTTGAGACAACCCAAAATTAGTTCAAAGTACAATAACAAAAGAGACATTATCCAAACACAATATGATATTGTAGCATGAACACCCGATATCATATGATTTGATTCTAATATCATGATATATGAATTTTGGACTTAACAAAACCCAAAAATAGCTCAAAACACTATAACAAAAGAGACATTACCCAAACACGATCTGACACTGAGGCATGAACATTCGATAATCCGTTATCATATGTTTTGATTCTAATATCATGATATATATGAATTTTGGACTTGACACAATCAAAAATCAGCTCAAGGCACTATAACAAAAGAGACGTTATCTAAACACAATTTGCTACTGAAGCATGAACACCCCAAATTTGGGACTCAACACAACCCAAAATTAGCTCAAGGCACTATGTTTTGATTCTAATATCATGATATATGAATTTCGGACTCAACACAATTCAAAATTAGCTCAAGGCACTATAACAAAAGAGACATTACTCAAACACGAGCCGATACTGAAGCATGAACAATTCTACAATTCTAGACATTACCCAAACACGATCCGATACTGAAGCATGAACAATTCTAGACATTACCCAAACACGATCCAATACTGAAGCACGAACAATTCTTGTTGCTATACAATTATATTAAATATATCCTAGTTATCTTATCCACGACCGATGTGGGAGTCTTGTTTCATCATTCATAACATGTTTGGCTAAAATTGAACAGAGATGGGACCAATTAGCAGTGCAGAGGCAAGAACTTGTGAGTCACAGAGCAACAGTTTCAAGGGGACATGTGTTAGGGACAGCAACTGCGCCACCGTTTGCCAGACTGAAGGCTTCATCGGCGGCAACTGTCGTGGCTTCCGTCGCCGTTGCTTTTGCACCAGAAACTGTTAGAACATATAGAGTTTCTACATGAAATACTCATCATGCATTCATGATAAATAATGATGTTCTATTCTATCAATAAAAAAGAGAGACTAGATATATATAGTCTCATATTTATTTATATATAATATGTGGTTACGATCAAAAATCATAGGTCATGATTGGCTAATCTAGTATCTGTTTTTATTAGTTTAATATGTGAATCATCGACGAAGCACATGATGTGTTGCCTTAGCGTTGCACTTACTGCCTTGACTTGGCTAATCTAGTACATGATCGATCCTAACATCTTTTGAATTTATGATATTACAAGTTCGGGAGGGGTAAAAAAGGAATTTAATTACATGTACTTTTTTAGTTAGGAGTATTTGCTTACTTTTTCTTCTCTTAAATCGTTTTATTCGCCGCTCTTTGATCAATTATCTAGCACTTCTAGTCCCACACTGACTAGAAAGAGAGATTTTATGTAAAATATTGCCATATAAAATAGCGCGGTATAGAATATGAAAAATCATACCTTTCTCGGCCTTTTGGCTAAGATCAAGTGTAGTATCTGTTCTTATCAGTTTAATATCTGATATGTGAGTCATTGACTCACACGATATTAACTCTATTTTTTTTGGGTGAAGGTTCATCATGGTAGCTTGCTATTGGGACCTTCAAGTGTCGTCTAGGCGTTGCACTACTGCCTTGGCCTGGCACACCCCACCAATTCTAGTTGTAAGCCTTTCTTTCAATTGTTAGTTGAGGACTTCTTAGGATTTTTGTGTAGTTATAAAAACCTCTACATTTTTGGAGCAAAATCGATACAATATGGTGGAGAAGGCAATGGACTTGGCCAAACTTGCTTTGTCTGGATGATTTTAATTAGACGTGTATGTGAGATTAAAGTGATTGAGAATATCCATGATCAATTGAGGAGGTTACGGGTTGAGTCATGTTGGAGGGTGAGTGAGATCGTCACTATTGATCCTCCTCGGATGGGGTGGGGGAAATAACAAAACGAAATTTTTCTCAAAGGATTTTAGATGAATCTCGTAAGAACGACAAAAAATATAATGCACCAGCCGGGAATCGAACCCGGGTCTGTACCGTGGCAGGGTACTATTCTATCACTAGACCACTGGTGCTTGATGACTTTGTTTATTTATTAAATAACTACATATTTGATATCAATAAAATTGCAAATGTAAGATCAAGTGTAGTATATGTGGTGCATTTGTCACAATTTCAAAATTATTAGTCATGATTAATGACCAAAAATCCACTATCTAGATTAGAGAGGGATCGACTACGATGCTAAAGCCAGGTCCGTAAGATCATCAATCCACTTGATCGTCATATCCATGGAGTAAATCTCGATAAGGTACTAAAGCTACGGTTTGTACAAAGCAAATACAAACAATATACATGACATGTGTGAAAATAAATTTTGTGATTTAGAAATGATATATTAAAACGTGATATATTATATGTTAGACAACAAGGTATCTATGTAGCCATTTGTTAGACTATTGGAATTAAGTTATGATTAGTGGTCAAGAAGTTGTTAGTCTGTTACATAGGTAAAAAAAAGAAAAAAACAAGTTAGTTAATAGTTAGTTACTTAGTGTTAGAATGTAGACTCAATAATGCCCCTGGAAACTATAAAATTTCACTAAAGAAAAGGACAAATATGAAGAAAAAAAAACTATAAATTTAATTATTTTGAAAAAGTAAGACTCAAAAAATCATTTCATATGGAAAATTGATCGAAATGAAATAAAGTGTTGAGATTTTATATGTAAAATCCAACTAATTCAGAAATGGGTATTATTACAGTTGTTAAATTTCTATATATGTATTATTACTATACTGCATACTCTTAGAAAGGAAAAAGAAAGATAACGTTTCTCATGTCAGAAGGAACCCTCAAAAGTATTTAAAATTTTCAACTAAATTCATACGCACACATATGCACCATCACACGCAATCACAAGGACACGCGCACGCGCACAATATATAAGATAAAGACATCATTATACATATAATACCCCTTCTATTTAAATATATAGTGTATTATTTATATTTTGCATGATCTTGCGAAGCGAGGATGAGTTCACTTGTATAACATCAAAGAATAAATATTATTATCATTCTTAGTGTTGAAGTAACTTTGTTTAGCACTAGTATTGATTTGATTTTAATTCGAGTTTTGTTAGAGTTACTAATATCTATGGACTATAACCTTAATTAGACCATTCAAAATTCAAGTCTTAGAAACAAGAAATAATATGATAAAAGATAAAAACTATGAAAAAGTATAAGAAATATTTTTAAAAATTATTCAAAGTAAATATTTTTATGCATAAAAAATAATAGTTTTAAAAAATATATATATAATGTCGGGTCCGTTTGATCTCGAATTGACATTTTTTTAGGTAAAACAAAACTAATCAACCACATTTGTGGAAATGGACCGAAAACCACAATTGACATTGAAAACTGCCGATATCCCTTCTTTTTAAGTTTAAATATGAACTCATGGTCCATTTTACTTAATAAAAATGGGCTCATAAATGGGTCCACACATATTCCACCTTGATCTTGTTGCTGTGGAGATCAATTAGAAAGGTTCATTTTTTTAGCCATCTGGCATCTTCATTGTCTCGTTTCTGAACTGACTCTTCTTTTTGTTTGAAAGTGTACTACAAATTATTAAGTATTGGAAAAAATGATGGAGATGGAATAAAATTGATATTGAGATTTTATCTGCAAAATCCAACTAATTCAAAATTGAGGTATTATTATACTTGTTAAATTCCTGTATATGTATTATTACTATACTGCATATTCTTAGAACGAAAAAAAAACATAATATTTTTCATGTTAGAAGAAACCCTCAAAAAGTATTTAAAATTTTCAATTAAAATTCATACGCACGCACACGCAAACGCGCACGTGCGCGCGCACACAAAATATAAGATAAAGGCATTATTATTATATATAATACCCCTTCTATTTAAATAATATATAGTGCATTATTTATATTTTGCAGGATCTCCGAAGTGAGGATGAATTCACTTGTGCAAAATTAAAGAACAGATAGTATTATCATTCTTAGTGTTTAAATAACATTTTCTAACACTAGTATTGATTTGATTTTAATTTGAGTTTTGTTAGAGTTACTATTATCTATGAACTATAACCTTTATTGGATTATTCAAAATCAAGTCTTAGAAACTGGAAATAATATGATAAAAGATAAAAACTATGAAAAAGTATAAGAAATATTTTTAAAAATAATACAAAGTAAATATTTTTATGTATAAAAAATTATAATTTCAAAAAATATATGTATAATGTCGAATTGGTTTGATCTCAAATTGACATTTTTTTTGGGTAAAACCAAACCAATCAAGTATAGTTGTGAAAATGGACCGAACCACAATTGACATTGAAAACTACCTATATTCCTTTTTTAAAGTTTAAATATGGACTCATTATTTAATAAAAATGGGCTCCTAAACAGATCCACATATAAATATACCAAAAAAGAGTTGGTCGGCCCAAAAGTGGTCAGACCACGTGAATATAAAAGAACCCTAAATGATAGGGTTTTCTCATTTGTGCTCTCCTTGTTATCATCGCCTCCGCGGAGATGTTCTATCTTGTGCTCCACAATTGTAGCTTCTTCCCCCTTTAGTTATGGGGGATTAACATTCCCCACCTTGATGTTGTTGAGTTTGATATCAAATTTCAAAGGTTCATTTTTTAGCCATCTGACTTCTTCATTGTTTCGTTTCTCAACTCACTCTGATTCTTGTTTGAAGGTGTACTACAAATTATTAAGTTTTGGAGAAAATGGCAGAGATGGAATAAAATTGATGTTGGGATTTTATATAGAATATTCAACTAATTCGAGATTGAGGTATTATTGCAGTTTTTGAATTTCTATTTGTTTGTATTATTACTATACTGCATTTTCTTAGAAAGGAAAACAAAAGTATAATGTACTAGCTGGGCTAATCTTATCTGCATCAATTTCAGGATCCAAAATAGAGTAGAAAATCCTACAATTATCAGCAGCATTACGTGTGAAAAAGTATTCAGACTCTCTTGTTCTAGTCTAATCTCAATTCTGGAACCTTCTATTTCAGGAGACAGTTGCAACTCTTGGATAGCTACAAACGTTTAACTACGGATGGTAATAATACTAATACTTCGTTTCATTATATTTTCTTCTCCTATTTATAATTATGATGATATATGTTGAATTCGATGTGTTATGTTTTCACTCTTTCAACAAAATTATTTCTACGCCTATAGGAAGAAGGTAGTCGAATTAGCCTTATATAAATGATAAAGAAAAGACATTTCATAAGATTTGTTTAACTGAAAATTATAAGAGATTCATAAAAAATAGGTGACACACTTTCTTATACGATCATTGTAGTAATTGTTCATGGACTAAAAAGATTTTGTCAAGACATTACATTGGCTGAAGAACTTAATGTTGTCATTACCAATATACTTCCATCCCCCTGCCCCCCGCCCTCCAAAAATTATAATAATAATAATAATAATAATAACAATAATATATACATATATATATCAATTAAATCTTGACTAATGAAACTTAAGATTCAAGGAGCAAAGTATCATCTGTTGTTTGGCGAATCTCACGAAATTATAAATTGGAAAACCTACATGAGGACCTATTTGGTGGAAAGTAATACAGAGTTGTGAGATTCAACCTCTTCCGTTTCTATCGCTAATCCTAGTGAAAATTATTTAACTACTACATTGACTCAGACAAATGTTAATCAGTCACCTTATTGCTCTTGATCTCCTTTACCACTTAAAGAATTAGAAGGCTTGAATTAACAAAAATACAAAAGAGCAGGTGAAGATTAGGAGAAAAGTATCGATTGATTAGGTGGTTGAGTGTCTCGGATGTAAACAGATTTTTGGCAGAGATTTTGAAGGTTGGGCAAAATGGACAACATTGATCAAAAGGAAGAAGTGGTTGTCCAATTTGCCCAAGCATCAAAACCTTTGCCAAATTCTCTAAATTCCTAGCATTCAACTACCGAATCAAACAATACTCTTCTCCTAATCTTCAGCTGCTCTTCTGCATTATTAGTGCGAGCCTTCTGATCTCCAACTGGTCAAAGAGATCAAGAACAATAATACTATGAGTCTCACTCAACATAGATTTTCTCCTTGCCAAGTCTGGCTTCTAATTATATCTCTTATATATCTAATCTTTCACTAAGGTGATTCATTGAAATTTTGTGAAAGTCGATTTAGTAGTTGGATTCTTTTCACAATCATCAACAAGAGAAACAAAAGAGGCTGAGTCCAACATCTCTTCATCACCTTTTACCAAATGGGTCCTCATGTAGGTTTTTTAATTCACGATTTCGTGAGATTCACCGAACAAATGACACTTGCTCCCTTAATCATAAGTTTCATCAATCAAAATTTAATTAATAGTTGTTTAAGGAAAAAATGGAAGTATACTGATATCATCACAATCTGAAATGGCAGAGAAAAAAAAGAATGAAACTAAATATCAATATTATTACCATCATTAGTTAAACTTCTACAATCTAAAGAGTTGTAACCTAGTGTTTTCAAAGACCTTTTTTGGGCAAGTCTCAGGGTGGCCATACCAAAAACCTTCGGGCACAAATTGATAAGTCCTAGAATTGGGCATAAGCACTAAGCATAAAACAATAAGTTCTGGTGTAAAAACGTGTGCCCTAAGTGTTTCTTAAGTATTTTTTTTAATCTTTTTTTTTTGCTTTAAATCAATTCTTTTTGTAATTATTGGCGTAGTGATATTTCTCAAATAGTAATTATTATACTTTTTTTTCTTTATCTCAAATAAAAATCATAATAATTTCCCTATATATTATAATAAAAAAAATTACTAGTAAAGTCATTGAAAGTTTAATTTTACTTTTGATTATTTTCTTAGTAATAAAATTATAAAATTAAATATACATGAGATTATGCCCCATAGATCCATTAGATTACTCCCCATGTCTCAAGACTTACGCCTCATCCCGTACTACATAAAACGTCTCGTCTCATGCCCCTACCTTTCAAAACTCTAGTTATTGTCTCGTGAGATAGAAGGTTCCAAACTTAAGTCCAGACTAGAACAAAGGAGACTAAATACTCTTTCACATGTAATTTTACTGATATCCTATTAGATCTTGAAATTGATGCAGATAAGATCGGTACAATACAAAAACAGCAATTCAACAATTGCAATAATGTCTCAATCCTGAATTAGTTGGGTTTCACATGTAAATTCTCAACATCAATTTTATTCCATCTTCACCAAAAAAAATCTAGAGTAAATAATTTGTACAATTAAACAAACTAGAGATACTGGTGTTTTTCAATATCGATTATGATTTTCGGTCCATTCCATAATCATGAAACTCTACTAACCACGTAGATATTGGATAACCTAATGAAATACTTTTCGTATTAGAAGATATTGAACTTAATCATCGATGACTTTTATCAATCAATAAACAAAATCCTTCAACGAATCAAAAAATAAATCAAAAACTTTGTTTCAATACCTTAATTTTGATATATGAACTTCTTAGAGTCCATCTAATTGGCCAGGCACACACTTTTATCCCACACTGCTTAGAAAGAGAGATTTAATTTAACAAGTGATATATGAAATAGCCCGGCATAACAAATGGAAACCCATACCTTTCTCGGCCTTTTGGCTAAGATCAAGTGTAGTATCTGTTCTTATCAGTTTAATATCTGATATGTGAGTCAATGACTCGCACGATATTAACTCTATTTTTTTAGGGGAAAGGTTCATCACGATAGCTTGCTATTGGTACCTTCAAGTGTCGCCTAGGCGTTGCACTACTGCCTTGGCCTGGCACATCCCACCAATTCTAATTCTAAAATCTTTTGTTTCAAAATAGTACACAGTTTGTCCCTTCTAATATTTGGATATTTGATACATAACAGCTCTCTCTATGCCCCATTCCAAGTAACACTTTTTAACTAAACCTATATAAACTATAAAGTTTTAGCAGAGTCAATTTTAGTATGATCCGATATATAATCAGACCGAATTCGATTTCTCATCTGGTAACCTCCAACAACATTAAAAAATAATAATGGAAAAAGATAGGCTCAGATGCACTATTTTATAGTCTATTAATATCAGACAAGGTGAGGACCCAAAGTTCTCACTAACTGTGCAATTTTATCTTCACTGCACTCACATAGAATGTATCAGAGGGGAGTTGAACCTGGGTCTGTACTGTGACAGGGTATTACTCTACCACTAGACCATTCGCGCTTGACATTTAAAGAATACACTCACAAAGTATCACCCCTAATGTAAGATCAAGTGTAGTATCTGTTCGTATTAATATATACATTAAACTCTATTTTTGAGGAGGATATCCATAGGATAGCTTGCTATTGGGATTTGGGACCTTCAAGTGTCCTTTGGCGTTGCACTTTGTTTATCGATTTTTTGGAACTATAAAAGGTCATTCTCAACATTATCAAAAGATTTAATGTGTGTTACTAATCGACAAATCTTTAATGATTCATGAAAAATAATTTGTGTTTCTTATTAGTTTTCAATATTTATTCACAACAAAGGAATATGAGGGGAAGGTTCATTACGGTAGCTTTGCTAACGTAGCCTAGGTGTTGCACTACTACTTGGCTTGGTGCACTGTTTTTCAAGGTTCTGGACAAAGATAATTAGTACTTGGGATTTTTGTTCAAGTTATTATCAACCTTTTAACATTTATGAAGCAAGATCGATACGTTACGTGGAAAATGTTATGTAGTCAACAAATTGTAATTTACATTTGTTGTTTTCTATCTTATTTTGGATTAAATGAAAACCTTAATAAGATAACCTTTGTTTCTTCATAGCAGAATGTTAGATTATAAGAAAAAGTAGTTAAATTTGATGACATCTTTGATCAACTGTTAATTTCAGCAAAATTGTTGAAACTAGTTTGCAGCCAACAAAACTTTAACAGAAAAAAAATTTCATTTACTTTGATTTAAAATCATATTATAGATGATTACTGTGATTATATACAAAAATATAGAGGATATTCAAGTCCCACACTGACTGCAAAGAGAGATTTTATGTAACAACTAACATATAAAATAGTGTGGCATAAGACATAGAAAATCATACCTTTCTCGGCCTTTTGGCTAAGATCAAGTGTAGTATCTGTTCTTATCAGTTTAATATCTGATACGTGAGTCATTGATTCACACGATATTAACTCTATTTTTTGAGGGGAAAGGTTCACCACGGTAGCTTGCTATTGGGACCTTCAAGAGTTGCCTTGGTGTTGCGCTACTGCCTTGGCCTGGCTCACCCCACCAATTCTACTTCTAAAGACCTTTTGGTTCACAATAGCACACAATTTGTCCCTTCTAATATTGGGCAGTTTGATCCATAAAAGCTCATATCCAATGCATTAAAATAAAATCAGATACTGAACTACATTTTAGCATAACTCATAAAATCTTGAGACCAATGTTAAATGGTGACCAAAAGTATAATAATCGTTTGATCCATAAAAGCTCATATCCAATGCATTAAAATAAAATCAGATACTGAACTACATTTTAGCATAACTCATAAAATCTTGAGACCAATGTTAAATGGTGACCAAAAGTATAATAATTCGATTCTCTTGTAATCTCTAACGACATTATGGCCAGAGTCAATATATAATAATTTGATTTCCATGTTGTAATCTCTAACGACATTGAAAATAATAGTGGAATAATGAGTAGCTCAGATGTGCTATTTTTGTCATCTTAACATTCAGACATGGTGAAAGACCCAAAGTTTTCACACTTGCACGGTTATCTTCATGGCACTCAAACTATTGCATCAGTCGGAAATCGAACCCAGGTCTGGACCATGGCAGGATACTGTTCTATCACTAGATCACTAGTGCTTACACATTAAAATACTTCCTTCGTTTCTATTTAGAAACCAACTAATTATAGCAGGATGTCATATAAAAAGGAACGGAGGAAGTATACTTCATCTTTTGTACTAGCAGTAAAGTACAATCCCTAAAATATTTTATATCCAATAAATTGAAAATGCATGATCATGTGTAGTATCTGCTCTTATTAGTATAATATCTTATATTAAACTTTTCAAAAAAAATTTATAGTAATTAGGGGTGTGCATTTCAATTCGATTTTATGTATTATCAGTTTGATTTATTAGTTTTTGACTTTTAAATACGCTAAATCATTAAAAAAATCGATAAGATATTCTTTATCAGTTTTCAGTTTACCCAATAAGAAAATATTCGTAAAATAGATTTATGATTTCTCACTTTTCTAACAATTTGGCACGAGACTGTGAGACAAGCAAAACAGATGTAAATGCTTTGATATAGTGAAATAGGAAATATAATGAAAAATTACATCAATAATAGTAGATGTAGTATGAAGGCTACAACAACATGTTACATAGTATGAAATTTCGGATGTGAACTAGAAGTACTATGACGTGTGAAGTGTGTAGACTGTAGTATAGAGTACTGACATAGTGTCTAATTATGCTAATTTATTAATATTTAATATTCATGAAGGATATAGTAATATATTACTGTCGTCTTAACGAGTTATCGTTTTACCCATACTAAAAATCGAAACCAAATCGATAACCGAATAAGTTTTTCTTATAACACCATTAAAAATTTGTTAACCCAATAAAATATAATTTTGTGTTTCTTATTAGTTTTCAATGTTATTCATAACTAAGGAATATGATGGGAATGTCAATTACGGTAGCTTGCTACCAAAGACCTTTCCCACTAATTCTAATTTTAAACCTTTTTTTTTTTAATTTTTTGTTGAAGGAATTTCTTCGAGGTCTACGACAAAGATATTAATTCTTACGATTTTTCTGAAGTTATTATTAACCTTTTAACATTTTTGGAGCAACGATGGATATGATACTGTGAAAAATGTTACGTAGGCAACAAATTATACATCTTTATAGTCCCACATTGACTAGAAAGAGAGATTTTATGCAACAAGTGACATATAAAATAATCCAGAATAACACATGAAAAATCATACCTTTCTCGGCCTTTTGGCTAAGATCAAGTGTAGTATCTGTTCTTATCAGTTTAATATCTGATATGTGAGTCATTGACTCACACGATATTAACTCTATTTTTTTAGGGGAAGGTTCATCATGGTAGCTTGCTATCGGGATCTTCAAGTGTCGCCTAGGTGTTGCACTATTGCCTTGGCCTGGCACACCCCACCAATTCTAGTTCCAAAAACCTTTTGTGTTCATAAATGATAATTCTATATTATATATAATAATTTGATTTCCATGTTGTAATTTGTAACGACATTAAAAATAACGACAAATATATAATAATTTGATTCCCGTAATTTCTAACGACAATAAAAAAATAATGGAAAAAGGAGTGGCTCAGATGTGTTATTTTGTCATCTTAACATTCAGACATGGTGGTGAAAGACTCAAGTTTTCACATTTGCACAATTATCTTCATGGCACTCAAACTATTGCACCAGCCGGGAATCGAACTCAGGTCTGTACCGTGGCAGGATACTTCCTTCGTTTCTATTATATGTCATCCTCTAGATTTACGTGAACAAGTTTTACTATTCTACTCTTATTCACCCCATATTAGTTTTCTTTGTTGGTCAAAGGACTATTTTTAAGATTAGTAACTCATAAAGGTAAAGAGAAAGAATGTAGTTATAATTTATACATTAATTTTAAGAAATGACAAGTATTACGAACCAACTAATTAATTATAAAAAGGAATAAAGGGAGTATGCCTCATCTTCCGTACTTAGCAGCAAGGTACCACCCCTAAAATATTTTATATCAATAAATTGAAAATGTATGATCAAGTGTAGTATCTGCTCTTATAATATATCTTATATTTCGATCTGATTTATTGATCGGTCCGATTTTTGTACATTCCTAATTTCATATTATATACTTCCAACAAGGTACCACTCTAAAATATCTCAATAAATAAAAATGTAAAATCAAGTATAGTATTTGCTCTTATAAGTATAATATCTTATATTAAATTTTAGTTAAATTTTCCAAAAAAAATATTTATAGTAACTCGACACGATATAATCACTAATAAAAAATTGTTATTTTCTCCCATTGAAAAATATTCTGCTGCAAATATTTTGATTAGACTGGTAATAAGAGAAAATATATATATTAATACAAAAAAAATTCATTATTTTAGTGTGATTTTATTTTCCCCCTGTATTTTTTCATAAAGTTGATAAAATGAAAAATGAATAGCAAAATCATACTCTATTACATTATTTTTCACTAAAGAAAAACTATTTCTAATAGTTACACGAACCCACACGGATCAAAGTTAACCATAAAAAACCCAAACCAATCGAACAGGGTTTCCCAAACCCTAACCGAAACGAAACAAATCGTGTTATATTTTCAACCCGCCCCGACCCGCCCCAACAACTAAGTATCTATAAAAAGGCCCCTTCTAGTTCTAGCCTACTCATAAACTTCTCAAATTAAATTTTATTTCTCCCTTCTCTCTCTAAACTTCTCTCTCTCTCTAAATATGGGGAACTCCCTTCGTTTGTTTGCAACTTTCTTCCTTGTAGCTATGCTGCTTTTGGCCACTGGTTTGTCTTTCTTTTATTAATCAATTTATTCGTATTTATTTTTATGTTATCGAACTTTGAGAAAAAAAGTTATCTATATCATTTTTTTTAGAAAAAACTTATTCATGCATGTCGTTAATTTGTTAACTTAAATGATATAAATGAGTAAAATTTTGAACAATAGATGATATATATGAGTTTCTTTAAAAAAAAAAAAACTGCAATTACATATTTGAATCTTTTTCTTTTTTCAAAAAATATTTAACTCATAACATGATTGAATTATAATTGATCACGTATATAAAATAACTTTGAAAAGTTAAAATTATTTTCAATTAATAAATGATGACATGAATGAGTCATTTCTCAAATGAAACATGAGTCAAATTCTTAACGAGGATATAGACAGCTTTTTTTTTAAGTTTGATGACATATTTTAGCACGCGTGATGGAATTATAATTAACGATATGTAAAAAATGATTTTACAAAATTAAAATTATTTTTCATTAATAAATAATTACGTATATGAACTCTTTCTCAAACAAAAATAACAGAAATGATCTAAATATTTAAGAAATGATATGAATAGACTTTTTTTCTCAAAATTCTATTTACAATTTTGTTTTCCAAATCAAACACCCAAAATGAAACTACAATCAATAAACAAACAAATCTTTGTAACCAAAAAATAAAAATGATCTGATAATATAAAAAATAATATTTCGAATTTTTCATTTTACAGGACCAACAACAAGTGTAGAAGCAAGAACTTGTGAGTCGCAGAGCCACCATTTCAAAGGGAATTGTCTTAGCGATACCAATTGTGGTTCCGTTTGCCGCACCGAAGGGTTCACCGGTGGCAACTGTCGCGGTTTTCGTCGACGTTGCTTTTGCACCCGGAATTGTTAATAGAAGAAAATAATCTTTTCATAACGATCGCTTTAATTTACCCTTGATGTTAAATTAAAGTGTATGATCTATCAATAAAACACGTACTCTCATATATATATATATATATATATATATATATATGGTTGTATGTTTTGTTATGTTATGTTCTTTTAAATAAATATTTTGCGTTTAAAATATATTGACTTCAGTCTATCTCCTCTGTGGGGAAGGCAAGGCTACTCTATCAGAATCGGAACCTTGGCTAGGGCTATCTAGAGACTATGGCTGTCTAGAGTAGAGTCTCGGTATCGGGAAATCAATAGTATAGGTCTTCCCCGCCTCTACCGCTGGTGATAAATTTAGATTCGCGATAATAATAATAATAATACGTTTTGTTGAATGTCATTTTTATGTTCATGCATTCTATCCTCTTGCCAAATGTTAGAATCAAGATGGACACGTGTTAAGCAAGGGAAGAGCCTCAACCTATGACCAAAAAAAAAATTATAATTATTTAAATTTTCGAAATTCTCAATCGATCTTTTTGAAATTTATAAGTAATCATATAAAATTATCTTAAATTGAATAAATAGACGGATTATTATATATAATAATATATATAACGTAGGTGTTTAGTTATTCAAGTTAAATAACTATTTTATATATAAGCTAGTCTCCTATTTTCATTTTCCTCCTTTTTGAGTTTGTGTGTGTGTTTCTGGTGTCATGTTTTGATCTGACATAAAATTTTAAAAAGAAATAAAGCTTTTGAATTTTGTATTTTTAAAATAAAATTTATATTAAATTATATCAAAACGTCCTTAAATTTTGTGATTTTAAATATATTATGTAAAAATTAAAATTTAAAAATTATATTAGAATATTCGATTAGTCCATTGTATGCCACGTATTCATGGGAAATGTGAGTGGCAATTTTTGTAGGTTTTGTGTGAACCGAATGCCTTCATTGTAAGAAGAAGTTGCACGAAACTCTTTTAAGAATACTGCCAATATATCTTCTTGAACTCAGTGATTGCTTTCGTTTGACGATAACTCGGTGCATAAAGTATCTCGAGTTGATCTAATACTATACGGGTTGAGATCGTTTTATGGTTAGGTAGACGGAGCGAATTGAAGTAAAATTTATAAAAAGTATTACGGGTTTATATTGTTTTATGTTAGTTTAAATTTAATTTTAATTTTTTCGATATAATAAGAGTGATAAAACACCTTTTGAGAGTGAGAATAATATATATATATATGTATATTTTGTTTTTTATTTCCAATGCATCCATAAAAAGTAATTTCACTTTTTTATTGGATCCGTAGCGAAATATATAAAAAGGAATTATTGAAATATATGATTTATATTTTATTTATTTTTAATATATTTTTTTATTTTAAAAATCTTTAAATTTTCTTATATCTCTTTAATTATGTTTAATATATCCGAGTTACATATTAATGTATTCGAGCCATTATTTAATTTATTCAAGCTATATATTGTGTATTTGGTTTATTCTATACTGTATGTATCTGATTTATGTTATAATTTATCTTTACACTGTGAGATTTATATATATAT